GGCTGCAATGTGTGTCAACTAGTATTAGGTTATAGTAGAGGTGTTGAGTGGCTGCAATGTGTGTCAACTAGTATTAGGTTATAGTAGAGGTGTTGAGTGGCTGCAATGTGTGTCAACTAGTATTAGGTTATAGAAGAGGTGTTGAGTGACTGCAATGTGTGTCAACTAGTATTAGGTTATAGAAGAGGTGTTGAGTGGCTGCAATGTGTGTCAGCTAGTATTAGGTTATAGTAGAAGTGTTGAGTGGCTGCAATGACTGCACTACAACCAGTCTCAATCTTTGATACAGAACCAGAACATGGAATGCATGGAGCAGGTGAGAACCATTAAACCTGTTAGGACTTTACATGGACATATGACCTCTGTGACCTCCATGACCTTCAGCCCTGATGGTCTGATGCTGGCCTCTGGATGTACTCGAGGATGGGTTAACATCTGGTGTCTGTCTGTGAGTACATACTATACAACCAACAAGTCCTGTCACATTTACTTTTGAGGAATTTTAATTTTTGAACATTTTTTTCCATTTATTGAATCCTTGTAAATTATTCATGACTTCTTAAAATTTTAGAAACGTTCTTGACTTGTTTAGCAAGGATGCAGTTAATTTTATCTTTATTTAATGCACTCTTTAAGCTTCAAATTCAAAACCTCTTTGAAACTAAAGTTCAAGAGTTCATTCATTATTTCCATTAATTAGTATGTTGAGGGCAAAGTGGGCAAAATTTAAACTGCAGTGAACATTTTCCAATACACAGAAGTTTGTTTCGTTGTGTTGTTTCATAGGAATGATATTTACTACCAACACAGATTGTGGTATACATTAGTTTGTGTATAATGTTGTTTTACAGAATGGATGTTTACTCCAGACCCATGTAGAGAATGGAACGGTAAATGACCTATGCTGGTATGCAGACTATGGACTTGCCATTTGCTTCAATAGAATCAAGGTCAGTAAAGTTATCTGTGAGAAGGACTGAATTTTTAGCTCACTTGATCCAAAGGACAAAGGCAAGCTTATGCCATATCGTGGCGTCTGTCCGTCTGTTTGTCCATTGTCCTTCCGTCAACATTTTCTTCAAACAACTTCTTCTTCATAACCGCCGATTGGAATTTAACCAAAGTTGACAGAAAGCATCCTTAGATGGTTGACATTTAAAATTGTACAAATGAAGGGCCTGATCCGTAAGGGAGCTGAAAAGGAGGCTGAGGGACATGCAGGACCAAAAAGTGGTAATTTGGCCATATTGCTTTAAGCAATTTTTCCTCTGAAACTAAGAGAAGGACATCAACTATATTTGATTGGAAGCTTCCCTAGGTGGTTGGCATTCAAAAGCTTACAAATGAAAGGCCTGACCTCCCCTGGGGCTAAGAGGTGGGCCAAAAAAGGAGCAATTTGGTCATATTGCTTTAAGTGACTTTTCTGAAGACAAGGATATCAACAATATTTGCTTGGAAGCATCCCTAAGTGGTGAGGATTCAAAATGTACAAATAGAAGGGCTGACCCCCCTGGGGGATGGGTCCAAAAAGGGGTTATTTGGCCGTATTGCTTTAAGCGACCTCTTCTCTTGAACAAAGTGATGGATATCAACCATATTTGGTTGGAATCATTCTCAGGTGGTGAGGAATCAAAATTGTACCAGTTTAAGGGCTGACCCCCAGATTAAATGAGGGTGGCACCAAAAATAATTTTAAACTTTGGCATTGTTGGGATCCCCACCGTATAAACATGTGTAAAATTACTGAGCATCAAGAAACAAACACAACCATGATATAAGAATTGACCCTGGGGTCTGGTGCCTCACTTCGGGCCATATCTTTGAAACAGTTGAGATCCCCACCCCATCATCATATACAGTGGAATCTGTATTAAGTGACCACCAAAGGGAAATTAGAAAAAATGGTCGTTAAATAAAAGTGGTCGTTTAATAAAGTTTAAACACATTTTGTACAGAATTGCACAACCAACTATAACCAAACCACTCCTTATTCAAACAACTGTTAACAGACCACAACCCCAAGCGCACATATACACGTGTATATACAGGTAGTTTAAAACAACATCGCCCAACAGATCAGGCGAATAATATTTGAACGTTAACAAACAACTAAGAGTGATTGAGAAAAATTGGCATTTCACTCAGAACAAATGATCGACGGAGACTTGTTGAAGTTCTCAACTTACATGACTGTATTTTCGGTAATAACCATAATTTTATATAGTAGGTGTTTTTTTGTATTGCAGTTATTATTAATTTTTGACAGAATTTCAGACTCCTGTGGTGTGGGTCAAATATATTGAGTACCCATGTACGGGTCGAGAATCAAATTTCAGGTACCCGGGGTAGAAATTCTGTACCCCAGCTGACGGACCTGATTTATACCATTGCTTGGCATAAAGATCCAGGCGAGCGATACATTTAAGTTGAATTGGCAAAGAAGGCAGTACCTTAAATTACTCTTTTTATGATTTGCTTTCTATGCCAAAAGCACCACGGTTAAGAATTGAGGCAAGTTTGAAATACACTGTTAAATAAACAATATGAAAATTGTATATGATGGACAAAATCAACAAACAGAATGATATGTACTCTATTGTAACAGCTGACAAAATCATCAAACAGAATAATATGTAAACTATGTGACTGACAGAATCAACAGAGTATTATGTAAATCATGTGACTGACAGAATCAACAGAGCAATATGTAAACTATGTGACTGACAGAATCAACAGAGTAATATGTAAATCATGTAACTGACAGAATCAACAGAGTAATATGTAAACTATGTGACTGACAGAATCAACAGAGTAATATATAAATCATGTGACTGACAGAATCAACAGAGTAATATGTAAACTATGTGACTGACAGAATCAACAGAGTAATATGTAAATCATGTGACTGACAGAATCAACAGAGTAATATGTAAACTATGTGACTGACAGAATCAACAGAGTAATATGTAAATCATGTGACTGACAGAATCAACAGAGTAATATGTAAATCATGTGACTGACAGAATCAACAGAGTAATATGTAAACTATGTGACTGACAGAATCAACAGAGTAATATGTAAATCATGTGACTGACAGAATCAACAGAGTAATATGTAAATCATGTGACTGACAGAATCAACAGAGTAATATGTAAACTATGTGACTGACAGAATCAACAGAGTAATATGTAAATCATGTGACTGACAGAATCAACAGAGTAATATGTAAATCATGTGACTGACAGAATCAACAGAGTAATATGTAAACTATGTGACTGACAGAATCAACAGAGTAATATGTAAATCATGTGACTGACAGAATCAACAGAGTAATATGTAAATCATGTGACTGACAGAATCAACAGAGTAATATGTAAACTATGTGACTGACAGAATCAACAGAGTAATATGTAAATCATGTGACTGACAGAATCAACAGAGTAATATGTAAATCATGTGACTGACAGAATCAACAGAGTAATATGTAAACTATGTGACTGACAGAATCAACAGAGTAATATGTAAATCATGTGACTGACAGAATCAACAGAGTAATATGTAAATCATGTGACTGACAGAATCAACAGAGTAATATGTAAACTATGTGACTGACAGAATCAACAGAGTAATATGTAAATCATGTGACTGACAGAATCAACAGAGTAATATGTAAATCATGTGACTGACAGAATCAACAGAGTAATATGTAAACTATGTGACTGACAGAATCAACAGAGTAATATGTAAATCATGTGACTGACAGAATCAACAGAGTAATATGTAAACTATGTGACTGACAGAATCAACAGAGTAATATGTAAATCATGTGACTGACAGAATCAACAGAGTAATATGTAAACTATGTGACTGACAGAATCAACAGAGTATTATGTAAATCATGTGACTGACAGAATCAACAGAGTAATATGTAAATCATGTGACTGACAGAATCAACAGAGTAATATGTAAATCATGTGACTGACAGAATCAACAGAGTAATATGTAAACTATGTGACTGACAGAATCAACAGAGTAATATGTAAACTATGTGACTGACAGAATCAACAGAGTAATATGTAAACTATGTGACTGACAGAATCAACAGAGTATTATGTAAATCATGTGACTGACAGAATCAACAAACAGAGTAATATATAAACTATGTGACTGACAGAATCAACAGAGTAATAAGTTATCTGTATAATGATTAACAGGATGTGGTTATATTACACTATAACGCTGAGCTCCATCAGAAGACACGCTGCGTTGCCATGGCCAGAAAGAAACTGAAACAGCAAGGGATTGTGGGATTGAACCAGGCGCCCTGCCTACAGGGTCTGCTTCAACAGCTGCCCACTATGCTACAGGACCAGTACCTATCAGAAAAGGTAATTACTATTTACAATTATCATATACACGATCATAAAATTAATGAGATCATATACACGATCATAAAATTAATGAGATCATATACACCATCATAAAATTAATGAGACGCAGATGAAATGGAACTGAGAGGTGTACAAATCATAAGTGTCAAATGTTTCTACATGCCTCCTAAATTTCTTGGCCCTTGGGGTGGGGATTTTTAATTCCATGATGTGTCGGGGTCATTGACGTCATCAACAATCGACATCCAGGCTTCACATATGGTAATGAGAAATTTACGGACGGTATATCGTAGTTATACTCTTGGAAATTATTTTGACTGACCAATCAAATGGCGTGTAACATCTCAAATGAATAAGAATTCTGTTTTAAATGTCTCTCTAATTCAGAGAAAAAATCTCTTTATTTTTTACCAAAACTCACTAAAACAAATCACTGATATCACCAATTTTGCACTGGAAAGTTATGGCATGTATTATATTCCCCTGTAATGTCCTGTTAAAGTTCTGATCACTTTTAGATTAACAATAACAATATTTATTTTGGTAGGGAAATAAAAAGTATCCAGGGGGGGTACTTTTTGATAGAGATATAAAAAGTATTGGGGGGGGGATACTATCACATAACTGAAAATGTTTCAATATGCCTCCCCAAACCTACAAATTGCCAGTGATTGATAATAATTGTGCCATGTTTTTTCTGGCCCAGGGGTTGGAGATTTGGATGGATAAATATTCTCCTGTAATGTCCTGTTCAACGTCTGAACTCTTTTGGATTTACATTATTTAAATATATAATTTTTCATAAGGGGGTACTTTTTACTCAGCTCGGAGGTACTTTTTGGTAGGTGTATAAAAAGTATAAGGATACCTTTTATCACCTGATTGTGCGGGGGAATGAGAATATAAGAATTTGCCAAAACCTCGGTACATCTCCCGCATTAGGGTCAATTTAACCCCGGATATATATTGGAGATTACCCCTCATAAAACCCTGCAAAAACACAATTTAACTTCACAAGGTATTTAAAAACAGCCCAAAGACTGACCCCTTGTGATTACAACAGATGCTGATAGCCTGTAAAAATTCAGAGTTTAGCTAACAATCGTGTCCTATACTTGTTTTCCATCTAGATATGCCTGTCTAATGCCCCTTTATTCAATTGATTAAACAGTGTTCGCTCAATATTATTTTCAATGGATTAACTTTAGATGAATGTCAATTACCATGAGTTCCCAAACAATTTTTAAGTTACCACCGTTATCTGACTCATTTACTGAGTTATGCCCCTTTAAACAATTACTGAAACAGTGTTACCTTGATATCGCCATTACTACATGCATAACCAAGATGTTTTATTGCATTTATTGATCTACCAGATATGTTGTATTATTTCTCCTTTAACATCAATTACTCACAAATATTAAGATATATTTCAACTATATAACACAACTGCTCATTCAGCGTGTGACTGGCGTATTATATAACTCTTCGCAGTAATCTTGTTTTACAACTTGGCACAGTGAAAGCACATCATAGTAGATGAACATGAAGGAAGGATTTGTGATTCAATATTATACAAAGTTTTAATGCGTACAATGCTGTTTAAACAGGGTTTTATTTAAAGGAAAGATTGTGTTCATTTTCAAGGTTGCAGAGGTAAAATATTTAAAAAAACAACTTTTGAAACTTCGCACTTTAAATGGCCAGGGAAAATGTGAGGATAAAAATGCATTAATATGTCACATGTTTCATACAGTTTTGCATTGTCTCTGTTTTAGCCAATGGTGGTGTCCGGCCATCAGCTGGTACACAGCTCCTACCTACAATGTCTGGCCTCTCTGGCTGTGGGGCTGTCTTTGGAGCATGTCCTGTGTCACAACCAGACACTTATACATCACCAGCACAATGCAGAAGGTAAGGGTTAGCCTGGGAGGGAGAGGGGGTCGGTCATGGGTGGATTAAAGGGTCTGTCCGTAGATGGGGTAGAAGCCAATCTTGAATGGGGTGAGAGTCAAGTCTGAAGTCAATTAAAGTTCAGTCTGGGTTGGGTAAGGTATGGACCAGGGGTGGGGTTGGTGGGCATCTTGGATTCAGTGAGGATCGGTGATGTGGTAGTGGTCATTCTGGGGTGCAGGATAGGGGTCAGACTGGGTGAGAAGGGGTCATTCTGTAGATCGGAGATGCATCAGTCTGGTGTAGTTGGGGTTTATGTCAGTCTTGAATGGGGTAGGGGTCAATCTGGAGATGGGGAGGGATACTGGTAGGGGTCAATTTTTGATGGGGTAAGGGTCAATCTGGAGTACTAGATAAGCGTCACCAGTCTGTGGATGGGTTTTTGTAGGTCAGTTGTAGGTGGGGTTAGATTGAATCTAGGATGTGGTCAGGTGCAGTCCGAGAAAATGATAGGGGTCAGTCTGGCTAGGGATAGGGTAGGAGTTATACTCTGAGATGGGGTAGGGTTCAGTCTTTGATGGGGTAGTAGTCAGTCTTGATTTGGGTAAGGGTCGATCTTGGATGGGTTTGGGGTCACTGGAGGGACCTTTCGTAAACTTCACATAAAGATTTCCTATGATCCTTAGATACAGATATTAATTTAAGATGCTCCTCCCAATATTCTACACAGATTTGAATGCTACTTGGTATACATCACGCTTTTAGCATAATGGGATGTGAGCTAACTGAATATTTAGACTGGACTTACTGCCCCTATATATGGAGTTATGCCTCTTTGTTCCATAACATTGCTTGCAATCTGCCTTCCTAAGTATTTCATCAATGTCTTGGGCAGCTATGTCGTAATCAATCAATCGAGCGATTCATTCTCGTTAACATTACATATCAGATAAAATGTTTAAGTTCAAGCATATCAATGGCTATACACTTCAGAATGTCGATGTACACAAATAAAAGACAATTATTTCACTGTTAATAAAGAAAAGCCTTGTCTGCAGTAACAAAATGTTTTACTAAACGATCTTCTTTGAAGAACCATATCACTTGGACATATATATGGTCACTTCCAGGTTTTGACAGCTGAAACGGTCAGAAAATCATGCTTTCTCTTTATGTTATGTTCCAGTGTCGAATGTTGTATAAGACAAGATAAAAGTGTCCAATTTGTATTTGCAGACCAGGATCTGTTGGTGACAGAGTGGCAATGGCTCCTCTCCTACTCCGCAGCCATCAAGTCTGCTGATGCACTCGCTCAACGAACGCCATTCCCAGACTCCTTCAAAAGACTCAACAAGGACACCAGGAATGGAGGATCTGTTCCGATGGTGATACTTCCTATCATGTTACAAAAACAAAAAATGTTCTTTGCACTCTTAAGCCTACCAACATCAGATGATGGGCTGTTCAAATCACCCTTCATTCATTGTCCTTGGTTCGTCTGTTCTTAAACAATTCTTGTTGCTGCTGTTTCTCAGAAAGTATGGGAGGGATCGATCTTTATTGAAATTTCACATGTATATCGAACTTTGGGACTAACTGGAAAACCAAGATGATCAACAGATTCCCACCATAATCAGATGCAATCATAAGCTTATTTTCCATCGTTCATCAACTTTATCTTTCTAAAACACTATTAGTCCTGAATGGCTCAGTTGTCATTGACCAAATTTGGTCTAGTTCATCTAGATAAAAGGAACTCTGCAGTATTGTATAAATGGAGGATGTGCCCCCCTCTTTTGGCAATTTAAGTGATGACATAATTTTCAGCTCACCTGTGCCAGTTGAGTTTATGGTATGGTATTTTGTCCATCGTCGGTTGTCTGTCAAATATGAGATGGAGTGTTTATAGTTTCCCCAATATATGACCTTGACCTACTTTCAAGGCCACATTGGTGAAATTTATAATATCCTTAAACAACTTCTTTTTACTAACCAGTATTTGAAAAAATCACAGAATGAACCAAAAAAATGTAATTTGTTGGACATTACAGGACAACGGTCGCTGGGATTTGAACATGGACACACAAATCATGTTGTGGGCATTACAGCGTCCTGAGGACTGGCAGCTGGGAGGCAAGTGTGAGGTGTTCCTTTGGGGAAGTGGTCGCCATGGCCAGATCTGTGAGGGTGGCCGGGCATCCTTCGTACCCACCAAAGTCTCCTCATTCTCTTGTGCTCAAAAGGTAACTACAGTAGAAAAGGTGTAGCTTGATAACAACATAGGCTTTTCACTGTTAGGACTGATTTTGGTCTTTGATCACAAACCCTTTACTAACATCATGGTCTTTACTCTCTATGAAGGAAAATGATAGCGTAAACCATCTAGCAACAGCTGATAATATTTTGCTGATTGATCGTTTTTGGTTGCTTGAACAAATTTCTTGTGTATATATAGCTTCAAGTAACAAGTGGTATCTTCTATGTGTTAATTATAAGATGTCAATAGTTATCTCCCTTTACAAAATCTGAAAATATGTATTTGTATGCTGGTCAATTTCATCGGCATATGAAACAGGTAACATTTGGTTGCTAGTTGCATTGAGTCCAACTTGAGTAGAAATTGAAATATATACCCATGCCAACAGCATTAATTCCGACCATTGTGAATATATTCAAAAATATGGATTTAAATGGTTTAGAAACTTAGTGCTTTGTTTGAATATTTATTTGTTTTAAACATCATTCATGTCACATACTTCTATATTGCAATTATAAGGCTGTATATTTTCCTGGGTAAAGGTCACACGTGTGTGCTGGTCACCTGTCTCTCACCTGTAGTGATTATAGCCCCCAGGGAGCCAGTCCCATGCACACAGGTGTGACACTTATTACCTGGACAGGATTCATGTATAATAAACTATTACAGGTAACATGATGTAATAATGCTATACATTTTGTACATATTTTTATATGAAAAGTATATCATGATTGCTTAAGTATGGACAGACAAGCGTTACTTTGTTAAAGAAATTCTATACTTCATAGGAGCATACTTGCTTAAATAATATTGAATCGAAAAATGATTTACAATATGCATATATAAAAATCTCTGAGTACCTGCTTTTGCCTGGGGCTGTATGATCTGTACAGGAATGGCGATTTTAAAAGGGAACTGCAACACAAGCAAATGATACGTAACAANGAAAAGGGAAGTTTCAGCGGAAAGGGGAAGTTTCAGCAGAAAGGGGAAGTTTCAGCGGACCAAGGGGAAATTTCACAGAAAAGGGGAAGTCCTACCGGGAATGGGGAAATAAAACTTTTTTGGGGAAGTTTCATCGAAAATGGGGAAGTTTCATCGAAAATGGGGAAGTTTCATCGAAAATAGGGTAATTACTACCCCCTTTGCGAGGAAACTTCCCTAAAACTATTCCCTAGTGTCAGTACACAGAAACTAGAATAGCAGGCCAGCAGACTTACATTTGTGGGATAAATTTCCTGACATGTTTTATTTCAGGTGATTTGTGGGCAAAACTGTACATTTGTGATCCAAAGTAATGGTACAATTCTGGCTTGTGGAGAGGGCAGCTATGGCCGTCTGGGACAGGGCAACTCGGATGACCACCACGCCCTTACCGCCATCTCCTCACTTCAGGGTCAGTGTCCATCTTATACTTATAATTCATCTCCAAGTATAACAATGATAGAAATTCATCCAGTTTTATTTTTGTGCATTTCACCATAATTGAGCACAAGTGAAAAATATTATTATTTATATATATTAGTTACAACACACGGTTTATACATTCCAGGTCAGTACAGGGATATATGCACACTAACAAATTAAAAGCCTTATAATTAATAAAACTTCAGAAAAGCTCAAGATTTGACCTTGNTAAATATATCAGGTGACCGTTAAGGCCCATGGGCCTCTTGTTCAATCTATTAAAGATTTGCCAAAGTACTATCAGCAGGACAAATACGTTTTTCAGTGATGAATGCCTTTCAAAATGCAAGTTCAGTACATTATATGCAAATTATTGAGCTTAAAATGATTTCTCTGCCTTTACCAGGGTTTGTGGTGATACAGCTAGCGACTTCAGTGGGGTCAGATGGTCATAGCCTCACTCTTACAGAAAGCGGTGAGGTGTTCAGCTGGGGTGATGGCGACTATGGCAAGTTGGGACATGGCAACAGTGACAGACAGCGCCGCCCACGACAGATAGAGGCACTGCAGAGGGAGGAAATTGTTCAGGTGAGGTATACAACACGTGCTCGTGTAAATTGGTTATTTCCTACACACATCATAGTAGTAGTAGTAGTAGTAAGTCTAAACTAATGGGATTTGGATTTGATACAACTTTTCACTGTTTTGGCAACAGGATTTACTTGAAATTGGACCATTGCTGTGTTAACGTTCTTCATATTATTATACAATTATGGACTTTTGCGTACGCCAAGGTTAATATCACTTTTTAGGTCACCTGAGCTTTGCTTAAGTAACCTATTCTGATCGCTTTCCATTCGTCATCATGTGTCGCCCGTGTCGTTAAATTTTTGGCTTCTCAAGAACCAATGAATGGGTATCCACTAAACTTGGTAGGGACCATCCTTGGTGGAACAGAATATCAAATTGTAAAAATGAAATTTCTGCTCCTCCCCAGAGGGCTCGGGTGGGGCCCAAAAGGGGAAATCGGCAATGTTTCTATTCTTAAGACCTAGAAGTCCTAGAATCAAATACTCTTCCTGGATGAAAATACCTTAAGGTGTCTTATCAAAATTATAAATTTCATGACTCCTGAGTCATTCACTCCCATGTGGGGAGGGGGTAAAGTTCCCTTTAGTTTATATAGGAAATAACACTTTTTAAGTACAGTTTGTATTTAAATGCAGAATTGATTATTACTTGGTTGGAATGATCATCAAGGGATTGCAGTTTGATAGTATTAAAATCAAAAGTCTTAGCACTCCATGGGGCGGTTGGATGGGGCTCATAGGGGGGTATTAGGGTAAAATTTCTAAAATCTTCTTTTTCAGACAAAAAATTCCTAGAACCAAATTCTCTAGATGAATGAATATGTCTTAAAGTGCTATATCAAAATTGTAAATTTCAATATCCCTGGGTCATTCTTTCCCCCTAGGGACCAAGTAACGTTTACTATAGTTTATATAGGGAAATAACACTTTTGAGTATGTTTCATATATTTTCCTGTTGAAATGATTTCCCTATCCTACACCCTTGGGCATAAAAAAAGTACTTTTCTCTCATCCCGACTACCAGAATAAGCTCAAAAACCATGAAAATGCGTTTAGACTGCATGGCTACCATTTTGAAAATATCAACTTTTCCCCTGAGCTTTTTTGCCGAAAAACGAATCGGTCAGCAAGATTTAGTATACCCCATATTTGCAAATAAAGAGTTCGCACAGAAAAGTTAATCTCATCTTTCTAACGTGTACATTAAATATATCGTAAAAGGTTTTAATTTCATGATGTCACCTTTTCTGCATTGCGGCATCAGAATTTTCCTAATTCATGATGTCACGTCATTGTTGAGCCATTGAGACATCACGTCATGTAAAACAGTGTGTCAAGATAGAAATTGCTTATACCTGATTCTTACCCTAAGACAGCCTTAACTTACACGTGCGTAAATTAGAAAATAAAGTTTTGTATACTTAATAGGAAAAAAACAATTTTGATTATATTTCATATATTTTTGTGTGGAAAGGATCCCAACTTGTCAGAAATTTCAGTATTCTTTTTCTGCTTAATGATTGACTCAGGTGACCACTAAGGCCCTTCGGCCTCTTGTCCAAAGCCCATAAACGTTTTATTATGTGCTTCTACAGTGAAACTTTGTACAGTTCACCTCATCTGGAAAGTGCCACTGTGTAAAATTTAGCCAGGAGTGAATCCAACAGTTAGGCATCGTAGCGTTCAAAGACATTGACAAGGTTCTTCCCCATAAGATAAGCATGGAGGACACACACTGCGTGTTCGGTGGCCTTATTTTGTGTTAACAGCATCTTTATCTTCGAGTAGTTTTAGGATGTTAAGATGTAACGGAGGCGAAGCGCTTGCCAGCAGCCATCCTCTGTTATCGTCTGACAGATCTTGTTCAGGTCTAACACCACATGTGCTACGACAGGTTGCGGGGAATTTTGATATAGGCTATATTTTGAAATCAATATTCTCCGGATAATCAGTCTGCATGAGTTTTTGAGGAATGGTCACGTGTTTATAAGAATCAATCAGTCTGCATGAGTTTTTGAGGAATGGTCACGTGTATATAAGAATCCGACCAATGTGATTGCAAGAAATTTTCAAGCGTGTGATAATGTCAATAAATGTAAAAATAAGTTGAATTGAATAATTTTGTATTTGTTTTCTTTTGCAGCTTTCCTGTGGGTTTAAGCATAGCGCTGTGGTGTCAGCAGATGGAAAACTGTTCTGTTTTGGTAATGGAGAGTACGGGCGTCTAGGACTTGGCAATATTGTCAACAAAAAGATCCCGCATCGAGTCACCGCCCTAGAGGGCCACCAGATTGGATTTGTAAGTTGCTCACACTGTTTTGTTTATAAAGACCACCAGCACTTGTCATACTCCCAACAGCAAAGTTAGAGGGGTATACTGGAATCTGTTCAACCATCTCTCCATGATTCCGTACCACTTTTCCTTAACTACTTAGCTAATTTGTGGCAAAACTTAACATGTATGATTGGTATATATCATAAAGTTGCTCACCCGATATATATGTTTCAGGCTCAACTTTTTTCTCCAGATTTATAGCCTGTTTTTAACTTTTAGAGTGCCTATCATTATCAATATCACACTGTTAAATGTGATGATTGACTATGTATCATATAAGTCAAGGTATTTTCAAGATGGCCACCAGTGATGACAGTAAAAGTTAGGTGCCCACTTCAAACCTTAAACTCTTGAAAAATTATCTGACAATGAAGAGTATGAGCTGATATATAAGTAAACCTTACACATGGTTTGCACAGATTTGAAAGGAAGAACCCTTGAACACCATGTGTAGCCTTGAAAAACCCTTGAAAATCAGTAAAAGTCTTGAAAAACCCTTAAAAATCAACGATACCCTGTCATATCAAGGTTATATTGTCAAATTTATTTAAAAAGTTTAACAAAATTATCTTAAAATTGAAAAACTCTTTTTAATCACATGGCACAAATATATCTATTCCGGAAATTATACATGTTTCGAATACTACTCGTACCAATCTTGGTCACTATGACGCTTTATACTGGGGTTGTACACATAGGAAGCATTTGCACGATGAAGTCAAGAAAGCACATTGATCAGCCACCATATTTAAAAAAACTGAAATAGGGATGTGTGTGTTCAATAACAAGTTGCTCAGCGATCCGCAATTCACACTTTGGGCTGGGGCATTTGAAATTGACAAACACATGGCTAACTGTATTGTTAGTGACCAAACAATCGACATGTATAGTTTTGGGGAGCATGCACTCCAATCGTAAAGGCAAAAGGCCAGACGAAAAAAATATGTGTTTCCTTTAACATGTTGGACAAATTGAGGGTGGGTAGGTAACAAAGTTTACTTTAACAAATAATTTTATATGGTTTATATAGGAAAGTGATCTTGAATTTAATTGTGCTTCTTTGAAAATTGCTTTGAAAAGTTTTGGGTAGGCACACAAAGTTAGGGTAGGTAGGGTTAACAACAAGTCCATCTGCTCGCCCGCAGTTTTTGAATCGAGCCGGAGATTTACAGAATTTTTGAAACGGGGAAAACTACAAAGCGATATTAGTACAGAAAAGCGGATAGAGGTTTATTCAAGTAAGTCAATCAATTAGAAGATCCCACCACATTCATGATCCTCTTGGCAATGTCTGCGCAGCTACTGGTGATTGCTGTGTAGAAAAACTTTGAACCAAAAACATTTGTAGGATTTGTAGTGTCTTAAAATTAGGCCTTAAATTAAACACAAATAGTCTTTAAAAACCCTTGAAAAACCTGTTTGTATGAACCCTGATACAAATATCCGAAACCCTCGTATGGAAGTATGGAATAAGGATCACTGTATATAAACTTCTCATTGTATTAATTAAGATTATGTTCAGTTTTACAATGCATGTTTCACAATATTACAGTGACTGTTAGACTGTCAAGAATGGGTTTGTCTCCCAGGTAACAGAATAGGTAAATAACATCTTGATGATTGACTGGAGTGTTACCTGGCCTGTGGCGGACAAAGAGAGCTGATATGTGATACCGTATGTTCGTTATGAAAACACAACTGGGTGTTAAGTAATTGTTATTTGCATTCGTTTTTATGCGCCCATCAAATTTGACAGAAGTATTATGGTATGGGGTTGTCTGTCCGTCCGTCCAGCGTAAACTATTGGTTGTCCGGCCATCTCCTCCTACATTTTTCGACCGATCTCTTTGAAACTTGGTATACATTATAATCATGATATGAAGTTGTGTCTCCCTTAAAAGAATTAAGATAGACAATTTTTCCAAAAGTGATTGCCCTTTGTTCATTTCAGTATTTGAATTTTTGTCTGAAGATCTCCTCCTACATTTTTTGACGAATTTCTTTGAAACTTAGTAGGCTAAATAACCATGATATGTTGTTGTGTTTCCTTGAAAAGAATTTTGATTCAACAATTTTTGCAAAAGTAATTGCCCTTGGTTATTTCAGTATTTGATTTTTTTGTGCGGCAATCTCCTTCTACATTTTTCAACAGATCTCTTTGAAACTTGGTATACATTATAATCATGATATGAAGTTGTGTCTACCTTAAAAGAATTTTGATTCAACGATTTTTCCAACAGTTATTGCCCTTTGTTCATTTCAGTATTTGATTTTTGGTCCGGAGATTTTCTTCTACATTTTTGCTAGCATGTCAGCTAACCACTCTTAGAATGATTTAGATCTTATTTCAATGTCAGAAAGTATATAACACTATATGGCATTCGACTGGCGTATATTGTACCGCCCCGTGGTACTCTTGTTGTCTATAGCTCTCCTTCACCTGGATGTTTACACCTGGCGAGTTCCGTAAGTACCCCGGGTGGGGTAAATCACAGTCCAGGTACAGGTACCAAGGGGCTATGTTTACCTGTATAGGGGAACGTGTTGATATGTGTTGTTTTAAATGTGGCGATTTGGGTCATTTAAAAAACACCAAAGACATTGTGTGTGTCCTCAGATGAGACAAATGTCTGATTGATGATGTATGTTTGGATATATAGGTGGCCTGTGGGTTGAATCACACGTTGTGTGTGTCCTCAGACGGGAAAAATGTCTGGGCCTTCGGTGATGGAGATTATGGTAAACTTGGACTGGGGAACACCACAGGTAAACATCTCCCGGCCAAGATAGAGGCACTCCAGGCCCAGACCATCAAAAAGGTGGCTTGTGGAGCCCAGTTCTCCGTGGCCCTTTCCAAAGATGGCCGCGTCTTTACCTGGGGACAAGGTAATTGATTTTCATGTTTCACAAAATTCCATAAAATAAGGATGCTGCACTTATTGATTTTAATGTATCAGGTTTAAACATGAATTATTGATGTATTTGTTGCAACTGGAGATACTGAAACTACTCACAAAAAATTTTTTCCTATCGTAGAAACATCCTATCTTGAGGATACTATTTTTGATTTTTTATACGGGGAAACAGATCTCATGAACTCCGTGCCTTTTTTTTGGTAAATTAGTATACTTCTATTGATATGATCGTTTGTTATTCTTACAATTTCCCAAAAGAAATCTTAATATCAAGGAAGGCAAAAAATTCTAGATTTATCAAATCATGAGCAAATCAGAAAGTTTCACAGAGCTTCTGCTACATATAACATGGCATCTCTCCCATCTTTCTTTGTATCCAATGCTTAAACATTTGTCTATTGTTCCAATTGTAATAGATCGCCTTATTGGTCAGCCTGAATTCAGAGGGCGTGGTCACATGACGCCCCAAGAGGTGACAGCCTTGTCTGGATACTATGTAGAGGATGTGGTGTGTGGGGCCGAACACACCCTAGCCCTCACCTGTACAGGGGATGTGTGGGCTTGGGGCAACAATAGCGAGGGCCAGTTGGGTATAGGTCACACCAACACACCAGTAAGGGAACCACAACTCGTGCCCTGTCTCACCGGGAAAAACATCAAACAGGTCAGTCTACACACTGGTCAGGTAATAGCCACAGCCAGCAACCTGTCTCATAGACAAAAACATCAAATAGATAAGTCTACACACTGGACAGGTAACCACAGCCGGTAATCTGTCTTATAGACAAAAACATCAAACAGGTCAGTCAACACACTGGACAGGTAACCACAGCCAGCAACCTGTCTTATAGACAAAAACATCACATAGGTAAGTCTACCCACTGGTCAGGTAACCACAGCTGACAACCTGTCTTATAGACAAAAACATCAAACAGGTCAGTCTACGCACTGGACAGGTAACCACAGCCGGCAACCTGTCTTATAGACAAAAACATCAAATAGGTAAGTCTACACACCAGTCAGGTAACCACAGCCGACAACCTGTCTTATAGACAAAAACATCAAACAGGTAAGTCTACACACTGGACAGGTAACCACAGCTGACAACCTGGCTTATAGACAAAAACATCAAATAGGTAAGTCTACACACTGGACAGGTAACCACAGCTGACAACCTGGCTTATAGACAAAAACATCAAATAGGTAAGTCTACACACTGATCAGGTAACCACAGCCGACAACCTTACTTATAGACAAAAACATCACATAGGTAAGTCTACACACCAGTCAGGTAACCACAGCCGGTTATCTGTCTTATAGACAAAAACATCAAATAGGTAAGTTTACACACCAGTCAGGTAACCACAGCCGGTAATCTGTCTTATAGACAAAAACATCAAACAGGTCAGTCTACGCACTGGACAGGTAACCACAGCCGGCAACCTGGCTTATAGACAAAAACATCACATAGGTAAGGCTACACACCAGTCAGGTAACCACAGCCGGCAACCTGTCTTATAGTCAAAAACATCAAATAGGTAAGTCTACACACTGGTCAGGTAATATAACCACAGCCAGCAACCTGTCTTATAGACAAAAACATCACATAGGTAAGTCTACACACTGATCAGGTAACCACAGCCGGCAACCTGGCTTATAGACAAAAACATCACATAGGCAAGTCTACACACTGGACAGGTAACCACAGCTGACAACCTGGCTTATAGACAAAAACATCAAATAGGTAAGTCTACACACTGATCAGGTAACCACAGCCGACAACCTTACTTATAGACAAAAACATCACATAGGTAAGTCTACACACCAGTCAGGTAACCACAGCCGGTTATCTGTCTTATAGACAAAAACATCAAATAGGTAAGTCTACACACTGGTCAGGTAACCACAGCCGGCAACCTGTCTTATAGACAAAAACATCAAATAGGTAAGTCTACACACCAGGCAGGTAACCACAGCCGGTAATCTGTCTTATAGACAAAAACATCAAACAGGTCAGTCTACGCACTGGACAGGTAACCACAGCCGGCAACCTGTCTTATAGACAAAAACATCAAACAGGTCAGTCTACACACCAGTCAGGTAACCACAGCCGGCAACCTGTCTTATAGTCAAAAACATCAAATAGGTAAGTCTACACACTGGTCAGGTAACCACAGCCGGCAACCTGTCTTATAGACAAAAACATCAAACAGGTCAGTCTACGCACTGGACAGGTAACCACAGCCGGCAACCTGGCTTATAGACAAAAACATCACATAGGCAAGTCTACACACTGGACAGGTAACCACAGCTGACAACCTGGCTTATAGACAAAAACATCAAATAGGTAAGTCTACACACTGATCAGGTAACCACAGCCGGCAACCTGGCTTATAGACAAAAACATCACATAGGTAAGTCTACACACCAGTCAGGTAACCACAGCCGGCAACCTGTCTTATAGACAAAAACATCAAACAGGTCAGTCTACGCACTGGACAGGTAACCACAGCCGGCAACCTGGCTTATAGACAAAAACATCACATAGGTAAGTCTACACACTGGACAGGTAACCACAGCTGACAACCTGGCTTATAGACAAAAACATCAAATAGGTAAGTCTACACACCAGGCAGGTAACCACAGCCGGTAATCTGTCTTATAGACAAAAACATCAAACAGGTCAGTCTACACACTGGTCAGGTAATTACCACAGCCAGCAACCTGTCTCATAGACAAACACATCAAACAGGTCAGTCTACACACTGGTAAGGTAACCTGACACTTAGCACCCAATCTCGCTGAAAAAAATTCAAATAGGTCTACTCATTTGGGTCTGCCTCTACACCTAGGGACTTAATTCTTGGCTTTGAAATGGTTGAGATACCCACCCCATAATCATATATACCATTGCTGGGCATGAAGAGACGGATGCAATTATGATATTAATATTGATTCTGGGTTCTGACCCTACCCTTAGGGACTGAATTTCTGAGCCATAACTTTGAAACGGTCAAGATCCCATTCAAAAGCCATTTATACCATTGCTGGGCATAAAGATCTAGGTGAGCGAAGTTCTTGTTTACAAAGTTTGGATGTTTTCCACCCAACAATTGAAAGTTATGTAACTACACAATGTTAGCTTTTACATGCAATGGCTGATTACAATCATCCGTTGCTTATTCCAATGTGGTTTGTCAATTACCTGTGAAACAATTTAAATGTTTTTAAGATGACTCCTAGGAATAGTTCAGTCACGGTTCACATCTGACAGTTGATGGAATAGTGTCTAATAGGCACAATATTTTCTTGTTACCTTTAAGATTATTATTTTTTAAATCTTTTGAATTTCATCACTGTCAGATATCCGCTGGTAGGACTCACAGTGCCGCATGGACAGCCCAACCTCCTCCTCAGAGAAAACCAGGTGTGCCTCTCCCCCTACAGTTGGGGATCCCAGATGGCATTCCGCCTCAGTACACTGCCCTAACAGCTGTCAGTCTGGAGGACATACAGGGGCGCTTCAAACTCCTGCATCACTTCTCGGACCTCATATATTCGTCCTGGCGGCTTCTCCCACTAACCTCTACACAGGTAAGTATCTGCATAAGCATTATTTGCATGTTAGAGCATGCAGCTAATAAAACATATGTTTTGCCAAAACATGGTTTATTAGCTCACCTGTCATGGTGCGGCATCCCTCTGTCTGTCCGGCGTCAACTTTTTACTTTAAACAACTTCTTAATAACCTATTAATCAATTGTCTTAAAATGGACCATGGGGATGATATGTCACAGGGGTCAAATATGTTAAAATCTTTTAACGACTTTTTCTGAATAACCAAAAGCCCAGGATGATGATATCCGGCCAGTATGCACGGACGAAGGGTAACTAGGGTTGTTCAAATGGATGACCTTGACTTATATTCAAGGTCACATGCATCAAATATGTTTGAAACTTCAAAGACCTCTTCTGTATATCCATAAGGCCTAGCATGTTGATATCTGGCCAGTATCTTGCTAGGATAAAGGGCTACCAAGCTTGTTCAAATGAATGACCTTGACTTATATTCAAGGTCACATGCATCAAATATGTTTAAAACCTTTAAACAACTTTTTTCTGAATAACCAAAAGCCCAGGATGATGATATCCGGCCAGTAGTATACACGGATGAAGGGTAACTAGGTTTGTTCAAATGGATGACCTTGACTTATATTCAAGGTCACATGCATCAAATATGTTTAAAACTTCAAAGACCTCTTCTGTATAGCCATAAGGCCTAGCATGTTGATATCTGGCCAGTATCTTGCTAGGATAAAGGGCTACCAAGTTTGTTAAAATGAATGACCTTATATTCAAGGTCCCAGGGGTCAAATTTGTTTAAAATCTTTAAACGACCTCTTCTGAATAACCATGAGATGAGGCCTAGAATGTTGAAATTTGGCCAGTAGCATGCTTGGATGAAGGGCTATGAAGTCATTTGAATGACCTTGACCTTCTTTCAAGGTCACATTTGGTAAAATATGTATAAACCTTGAATTACCTAATCTCAATCAACAAAAGGTGGTGATATTTGGCAAGTTACATGCTGAGATGAAGGGCTATAAAGTTTGTTTAATGTAATATCTTGTTCGACTTTCAAGTCACAGGGGTCAAATATTTTAAAATATTTTAACAGGTTCTTTTGAATGACATAAATACTGATATTTTGCCTGTAGCTTTAGTTTAGATCACTTTTAAGGTTACAAGTATGGTATTAGTACCAGGTGAGCGATGCAGGCCCATTGGGCCTCTTGTTATCAGTACTATATAAAATAAGAATATTACAAAATGATTGCTTTAATATTCCAGGTGAGTTACACAGGCACAGTGGGCCTCTTTTATCAAGGCATAGGAACTATTTCCTTTACTTTCTTACTACTCACTTCTTTTATTGATATACATATTTTATAACTATGTATTAAAAAAAAGATTCCAGTATGTAAAAGGACAGCTGAAAAACCAACCACCATTATCAATGGAACCGTTTAGCTTTAGCTGTAGCACAATCAGTAGTAAATGTAGTCTTACGTATCATTGTTTATCTCCACAGTCAACGCTCACACGGTACGAGACTGGGATGAGGGGAATCATTGATGGAAGGTTACGGCCACTCCTGTCGCCTAGGGTCTACACACTTCCTCTCGTCAGGGCCATTGGCAAGACCATGGTACAGGGCAAGAACTATGGTCCACAGATCACTGTCAAACGCCTGTCTACTAGGTAAATAGCACATAATATCAGTCATTCTTTATGTCAGAGGATATTGTTGCCACAATATTAAACAATGTCTAACAGATGATGAACATCGTCCTCATTCCACTTCTCAAAGGAGAGGTTGAGTGTGTGTAAAAAACCCAGTCTAAGCAACCACCTCTACTCTGTAATCTACATCTAAACCTGTATATGGGTTATACTTACTTTTTGTTGAGGGGTAAGAAGTGTAAACCATGTTATCTACATCTAAACCTGTATATGGGTTATACTTACTTTTTGTTGAGGGGTAAGAAGTGTAAACCATGTTATCTACATCTAAACCTGTATATGGGGTTATACTTACTTTTTGTTGAGGGGTAAGAAGTGTAAACCATGTTATCTACATCTAAACCTGTATATGGGGTTATACTTACTTTTTGTTTAAGGGTAAGAAGTGTAAGCCATGTTATCTACATCTAAACCTGTATATGGGGTTATACTTACTTTTTGTTTAAGGGTAAGAAGTGTAAGCCATGTTATCTACATCTAAACCTGTATATGGGGTTATACTTACTTTTTGTTTAAGGGTAAGAAGTGTAAGCCATGTTATCTACATCTAAACCTGTATATGGGGTTATACTTACTTTTTGTTTAAGGGTAAGAAGTGTAAGCCATGTTATCTACATCTAAACCTGTATATGGGTTATACTTACTTTTTGTTTAAGGGTAAGAAGTGTAAGCCATGTTATCTACATCTAAACCTGTATATGGGGTTATACTCATTTTTTGTTTAGGGGTAAGAAGTGTAAGCCAGTGTTTACCCAGATTGCCCAGCAGGTTGTGAAGTTGAAGGCAGAAGACCTGAGACTGCCTGCCCGTGCCTGGAAGGTGAAGCTGATAGGAGAAGGGGCAGATGATGCTGGCGGAGTGTTTGATGATACTATAACAGAGATGTGTCAGGTAAGAAGGTTTGTTGTGTTTACATGATGTGATCTGATTTTGACTTGTCAAATTTGTGTAGTATCATGGTTTTTAGCCCAAAGGGCCAAGCAAGCTTATGCTGTGGCATTGCCCTCCATCGTCTGTCAACTATCTTGTGTCAACCTTTTGCTGTAAACAACTTCTTAATAACCAATTAATCAATTGTCTTAAAATGGACCATGGTGATGATATTTGGCCAATTGCATGCTTGGATGAAGAGCTAACAAGTTTGTTCAAATGAATGACCTTTGCACATATTCAAGGTCACAGGGGTCAAATATGTAAAACAAACTTTAAACAACTTCTTAATACTAGTATCCAAAAGGTCTAGGATGATGATATTTTGTCAGTAAAATGCTCAGACAAAAAATTACGAGGATTGTTCTAAAGAATGACCTTCATCCTTATTCAAGATTGTAGTGGTCAAATGGTTTAAATAAAATTTAAAAACTTCATCTGAATAACCATAAAGCAACAGGAGTTGATATTTTGCCAGTAGAATGCTCAGATGAAGAGCTATTAAGTTTGTTCATGTGGGTGATCTTGACCCACTTACAAGTTCACATACAGTGTGTATGGTCAAATGTGTATAAACCTTTAAACTACCGAATCTCAGTAAACAAAAGCATAGGGTGGTGATATTTTGCCAGTAGCATGCTCAGATGAAGAGCTATCAAGTTTGTTCATGTAGGTGATCTTGACCCACTTACATGTTCACATACAGTGTGTATGGTCAAATGTGTATAAACCTTTAAACTACCGAATCTCAGTAAAAAAAAGTTCTAGGATCGTGATATTTGGCAAGTTGCATGCTGAGATGAAGGGCTATAAACTTTATTCAGTTTAATGACCTTGTTAGACATTCAAGGTCACTGGATTGCTCATTTTGCCTCTTGTCTGAAAATTGCCAGCTATATTGATATGATATATCATCATTTTGTCAAGGACAGCACTGTCAGCAGGCCATGCTTGGATTATATAACATTAATAACAATTGTACATATGTATTACAAACTCAAGTGACCATTAAGGCCCATGGGCCTCTCGTGAGTGTTTAAGTTTGTTATTGCTATTCCACAAGGACTTGAAAGATCTTTCTCAAATTTCATATGAATGTTTCATTTGAGAGTTATTATTAATAAAACAAGATGGCCATCAGGCAGCAATCTTGGATTTTGAGATTTGAAGATTGTTATCCCTATTTCTCAAAAAATAAAAACTGAAAAGTAACCTCAAATTGATAGGATACTCTCAAACCCAATATATATATTTTCAGCACTTCACAACAACATATAACAGGTGTATAACACTCACTCAGCTGTGGTGACCAGCTTGGGCCCACAGATCTCTTGTTCTACAATAAGTAAGGATTCCAAATTATTTATCAGTTTCACAAAGATTTGAATTACATTCTTGATTACCTTGTATGTTTGACAGGAGCTAGAGATGAGAGTAGTCCCATTGTTAATAACAACACCGAATGCTCAGAACGAATCTGGAAACAACAGGGACAGGTAGGTGTAACCAACAGATATGTAGGTGTAAACAACAGGAACAGGTAGGTGTAAACAACAGGGACAGGTACATGTAGGTGTTAACAACAGAAACAGGTATGCATAAACAACAGGGACAGGTGGGTATAAACAACAGAGACATGTAGGTATAACAGAGACAGGTAGGTATAAACAACAGAGATAAGTAGGTATAAACAACAGAGAAGGTAGGTATAAACAACAGAGATAGGTAGGTATAAACAACAGAGATAGGTAGGTATAAACAACAGAGATAGGTAGGTATAAACAACAGAGACAGGTAGGTATAAACAACAGAGACAGGTAGGTATAAACAACAGAGATAAGTAGGTGTAAACAACAGAAACAGGTAGTTGTAAACAACAGAGGTAGATTGGTATAAACAACAGAGATAGGTAGGTATAAACAACAGAGATAGGTAGGTGTAAACAACAGAGGTAGGTAGGTGTAAACAACAGAGGTAGGTAGTTGTAAACAACAGAGATAGGTAGGTATTAACAACAGAGATAGATAGGTATAAACAACAGAGATAGGTAGGTGTAAACAACAGAGGTAGGTAGTTGTAAACAACAGAGATAGGTAGGAGAAAACAACAGAGATAGGTAGGTGTAAACAAAATGGCTAAGGTGACGATATTTGACCAGTAACAGGCTGGGATGTAAGGTCGCCAAGTAAGTTCAAATTAATGAACTCAAGCATATTCAAGGTCACAGGGGTCAAATGTGTTTATATCTTTTAACAGATTCTTTGAATGATTTTGAGTTATAGGTAGTGATATTTTGCCTTTATTTTTGTCATCATTATTTTTCTATTTTATCTCAAAAATAGCATATAGGATAGGTAACAGTGGTAATTATCTTTCAATCCCTCTGCTAAGGAGATAGAAATGGGGGATTTTAACCAAATCTGGTCTAGAGCATCCTATGGCAAGTAGGACTCAATTTTATGTAAGCTGAGTATGTGGCCCCCAAGGGGACGGCACAATGGGGTGCCCAATAGGGGAAATAGAAATAAATCAATAAAATCCTTCACTTTCTGTTTGGATTGAGGGATTTCATACGATTGTTAGGCATGAAGAGAAGAAAACATGTAAGCTACCAGGACTGCCCGGAGGTCCAAACTCATCCCAGGAGACTTGTTCCTGACACCATGTAATGCTAGTTATTAGCAGATGAGATTGATCTACCTATTCAGTTCACTATCTACAAGGTGGTTCCAGGAATGACAAAATAGACCGAATGATGTAGCAATAAAGGTAGTACAACACTTTTCTGTACTAAGTACAATGTACAAACACTATTCAAAATAGTACATAAATAGTAAGCATAAGTATCACTTTTCTTTCCATCCAGATTTTTGTTGAACCCATCGTTGACTTCTGATGAGGAAATGGAAATGTTTAAATTCCTCGGTATCCTGTGTGGAGTGGCCATCAGGACAAAGAAACCCTTGGACCTCCACTTTGCACCATGTGTTTGGAAGTTACTGGTCGGCATCCCCCTCCAACATGAGGATCTAGAAGAGGTAAGTAGATACTAATTATCATCCCCCTCAAACACAAGGATCTGGATCTGGATCATTGGTAGCTGGTTACTGAGATCATGGACCATTGGCAGCTGCCTAGTGAGATCATGGAGTATTGGTAGCTGGTTAGCGTGTCTGAATTAATGGTAGCTGTTTAGCGTGTCTGGATTACTGGTAGCTGGTTAGCATGTCTGGATTAATGGTAGCTGGTTAGCATGTCTGGATTAATGGTAGCTGGTTAGCGTGTCGGGATTATTGGTAGCTGGCTAGTGAGATCATGGGTCATTGGTATGTGGTTAGTGAGATCATGTATCATTGGTAGCTGGTTAGTGTGTCTAGATTATTGGTAGCTGGTTACCGTGTCTGGATTATCGGTAGCTGGTTAGCGTGTCTGAATTAATGGTAGCTGTTTAGCGTGTCTGGATTATTGGTAGTTGGTTAGCGTGTCTGGATTCTTGGTAGCTGGTTAGCGTGTCTGTATTAATGGTAGCTGGTTAGCGTGACTGGATTAGTGGTAGCTGGTTAGTGTGTCTGGATTATAGGTAGCTGGCTAGTGAGATCATGGGTTATTGGTATGTGGTTAGTGAGATCATTGATCTTTGGTAGCTGGTTAGTGAGCTCATTGCTGATCATTGGTAGCTGTCAAGTGAGATCATGAACAATTGGTAGCTGGTTAGCGTGACTGGATTAGTGGTAGCTGGTTAGTGTGTCTGGATCATTGGTAGCTGGCTAGTGAGATCATGGATTATATATATGTGGTTAGTGAGATCATGTATCATTGGTAGCTGGTTACTGAGATCATGGACCATTGGTAGCTGCCTAGTGAGGTCATGGGTTATTGGTAGCTGGTTAGAGTGTCTGGATTATTGGTACCTCCAACACGAGGATCTAGATGAGGTAAGTACAAAAAAAGACTCTTATAATCATCCCCCTCCAACATGAAGATCTAGAAGAGGTCAGTACAAAAAAGATACTTCTTATCATCCCCCTCCAACACAAGGATCTAGAAGAGGTAAGTAGATTCTTATTATCATCCCCCTTCAACACGAGGATCTAGCAGAGGTAAGTACAAAAAAGATACTTATAATCATCCCCCTCCAACACGAGGGTCTAGAAGAGGGAAGGACAAAAAAAGATACTTATATCATCCCCCTCAAACACAAGGATCTGGATCTGGAGCATTGGTAGCTGCCTAGTCAGATCATGGATCATTGGTTGCTGGTTAGTGAGATCATGGATCATGGGTAGCTGCCTAGTGAGATCGTGGATTATTGGTAGCTGGTTAGTTATATCATGGATCATTGGTAACTGGTTAGTGAGATCATGGATCATTGGGAGCTGCCTAGTGAGATCATGCAAAAAAAATACTTATTATCATCCCGCTCCAACACGAGGATTTAGAAGAGTTAAGTACAAAAAAAGATACTCATTATCATCCCCCTCCATCCAACACGAGGATCTAGATGAGGTAAGTACAAAAAAAAACCACTTATTATCATCCCCCTCCAACACGAGGGTCTAGAAGAGGGAAGGACAAAAAAAGATACTTATCATCATCCCCCTCCAACATGAAGATCTAGAAGAGGTCAGTACAAAAAAGATACTTATTATCATTCCTCTCCAACAGGAGGATCTAGAAGAGGTAAGTTCAAAAAAAGATACTTATATCATCCCCCTCAAACACAAGGATCTGGATCTGGAGCATTGGTAGCTGCCTAGTGATATCATGGATCATTGGTAGCTGAGTAGATACTAATTATCATCCCCCTCAAACACAAGGATCTGAATCATTGGTAGCTGCCGAGCTAGATCATGGATCATTGGGAGCTGCCTAGTGAGATCATGGATCATTGGTCGCTGGTTAGTGAGCTCATTGATCATTGGTAGATGGTTAGTGAGATCATTGATCTTTGGTAGCTGGTTAGTGAGATTATGGACCATTGGTAGCTGCCTAGTGATATCATGGATCATTGGTAACTGGTTAGTGAGATCATTGATCTTTGGTAGCTGGTTAGTGAGATCATTGATCATTGGGAGCTGGTTAGTGTGTCTGAGGATCTAGAAGAGGTAAGGACAAAAAAAGATACTTATCATCATCCCCCTCCAACATGAAGATCTAGAAGAGGTCAGTACAAAAAAGATACTTCTTATCATCCCCCTCCAACCCGAGGATCTAGAAGAGGTAAGTTCAAAAAAAGATACTTATATCATCCCCCTCAAACACAAGGATCTGGATCTTGATCATTGGTAGCTGGTTACTGAGATCATGGACCATTGGTAGCTGCCTAGTCAGATCATGGATCATTGGTAGCTGCCTAGTCAGATCATGGATCATTGGCAGCTGCCTAGTGAGATCATGGATTATTGGTAGCTGGTTAGCGTATCTGGATTATTGGTAGCTGGCTAGTGAGATCATGGGTTATTGGTATGTGGTTAGTGAGATCATTGATCCTTGTTTGCTGTCTAGTGAAATCATGGATTATATATATGTGGTTAGTGAGATCATTGATCATTGGTAGATGGTTAGTGAGATCATTGATCATTGGTAGATGGTTAGTGAGATCATTGATCATTGGGAGCTGGTTAGTGTGTCTGGATCATTGGTAGCTGCCTAGTGAGATCATGGACCATTGGTAGCTGCCTAGTGAGATCATGAACCATTGGTAGCTGGTTAGTGAGATCATGGATCATTGGTAGCTGGTTAGTGAGATCATGGATCATTGGTTGCTGGTTAGTGAGATCATGGATCATTGGTATGTGGTTAGTGAGATCATGGATCATTGGTATGTGGTTAGTGAGATCATGGATCATTGGTAGCTGGCTAGTGAGATCATGGATCATTGGTAGCTGGTTATTGAGATCATGAACCATTGGTAGCTGGTTAGTGAGATCATGAACCATTGGTAGCAGGTTAGTGAGATCATGAACCATTGGTAGCTGGTTAGTGAGATCATGAACCATTGGTATGTGGTTAGTGAGGTCATTGATCATTGGTAGCTGGTTAGTGAGATCATTGATCATTGTTTGCTGTCTAGTGAGATCATGGATTATATATATGTGGTTAGTGAGATCATGGATCATTGGTTGCTGGTTAGTGAGATCATGGATCATTGGTATGTTGTTAGCGTGTGTTGATTAAAATTATTTTTAGCTGGTTAGTGTGTCTGGATTATAGGTAGCTGGCTAGTGAGATCATGGGTCATTGGTATGTGGTTAGTGAGATCATTGATCATTGGTAGCTGGTTAGTGTGTCTGGATTATTGGTAGCTGGGTAGCGTGTCTGGATTATTGGTAGCTGGTTAGGGTGTCTGGATTATTGGTAGCTGGTTAGCGTGACTGGATTAGTGGTAGCTGGTTAGTGTGACTGGATTATTGGTAGCTGGTTAGTGAGATCATTGATCATTGGTAGCTGGTTAGTGTGTTTGGATTATTGGTAGCTGGTTAGCGTGTCTTGATTATTGGTAGCTGGTTAGTGTGACTGGATTATTGGTAGCTGGTTAGTGAGATCATTGATCATTGGTAGCTGGTTAGTGTGTTTGGATTATTGGTAGCTGGTTAGCGTGTCTTGATTATTGGTAGCTGGTTAGTGTGACTGGGTTATTGGTAGCTGGTTAGCGTGTCTGGATCATGGCTGGTTTGTGAAGATTTATCAGTGTTTGGTAGGTTTGAGAGGTAAAGGATCAGTATTGACATGTTTATAGGAGATAACATTTCAGTAGTGTCTGGATTAATGTATTATGTACTCTGTCATATTTTTATTTACAGGTAGATCACCTCTATATACAGAGTCTGATTGGCATTTCTGACATACAGAAGAGTGGTGTCAATGAAACCAACTTCCATGAGGTACAACACAACTGTTTACATGCTTGTTTATACCTTCTCATATTCCTGTCGATTTCAAAGTCAAATAATAACACATTTATCAGAGTTCATATTATAAAGAAACATTTTTAGCTCACCTGGCTGGAAGTGAGCTGATGCTGTGGTGCAACGTCCATTGTCCGTCCGTCCAGAGTAAACTTTTTACTTTAAACAACTTCTTCTGAATAACCAAGAGGCCTAGGGAGTGTTGGCATGAAGGACTACCAAGTTTGTTCAAATAAACGACCTTTGCCCATTTTCAAAGTCACAGAGTTCACATATGTTAAAATGTTTTAACAGATTCTTCTAAATTACCAGAAGGCCCAGGATGTTAATATTTGGTTAATAGTATGTTGGGATAAAGGGCTAGCAAATTTGTTAAACCGAATGACCTTGACATATATTCAAGGTCACTAGGGAAAATATGTTAAAAACATTTTAAAGACTTCCTCTGAATAACCAAAATGCCAAAGATGTTAATATTTTAGCAAGTAACATGCTAGGATGTAGACTACCAAGTTTGTTCAAATGAAAGACCTTTGCCCTTTTCCAAGATGACGAGTCAAATATGTTAAAATCTTTCAACAACTTCTTCAGGATAACCACAGGGCCTTGGATGTTGATATTTTGTCAGTAGCATGCTGGGATAAAGAACTTCCAAGTTTGTTCAACTTGACTCATATTCAATGTCACAGGGGTCAATTATCTTTAAAAAAATTCAAACATTTTTTTCTGTTAACCAAAAGGCCCAGGTTGATGATTTTTGGCCAATATCATGCTGTGACAAAGGGCTTCCAACTTTGCTCAAATAAAAAAAATAAAAATGGCTTGTTCTAATTAATTCTCATCAACTCATTTTCAAGGTAATGGGGGCCAAATGTTTTGAAAGTTTTTAAGAGCTTCCTCTGAATAACCAAACAGCATGGGGTTGTGTTATTTTGCCAGTAGAATGCTTCAGAGAAAGAGCTATCAAGATTTTTGTTTGAATGACCTTGACATATATTCAAGGTCACATTTGGTAAAATGTGTATAAACCTTTAAACGACCTAATCTCGATAAACAAAAGATGTAGGGTGATGATCTGTGTCGGGTTGCATGCTGAGATGAAGGGCTTTAAAGACCTTGTTCAAATCAATGACCTTGTTCAACTTTCAAGGTCACAGGGTTCAAATGTGTTTAAATCCTTAACAGGTTCTTTTGAATTACTTATAATCATAAATACTGTTATTTTGCCTGTAGCTTTATTTTAGTCCAATTTTAAGGGTAGAAGTGTGAGATTAATACCAGGTGAGCGATGCAGGCCCATTTGGCCTCTTGTTTATATAAGATGATTAGCATTGTGATATAAAATTGCACAGACAGCTATATGACTATGAACCAACTGACCAATATTACTGAAGGGAATCAGATTTACCCAAAGAAAATAGGTTTGTAGAACTAAGCCAATTGATTTTCAAAACAATGATCACTTGATCTTGCTTTGTACAGTTCATTCCACTGGACAGTTTTCTAGGACAGAGCTCAGACGGCCGTCTGATTCCAGTGATTTCCGGTGGAAGTACCATTCGTCTCCACTTTCACAATAGGCGAGACTATGTTGAGGCTGCTCTCAACTTCAGGCTGCATGAGATGGATCGACAGGTGAGTAGTCTCCCTTGTTAGCTCACCTGGTCCAAAGGACCATGGTGAGCTTACGTGCCATCCTTCGTCATCTGTCAACTTTTCCTTTAAAATGCTACCAGTCCTGAACAGCTTTAGTGTATTTTGACTAAATTTGGCTTGAAGTATCCTTGTGTAATGGGAATTTAGTTTTGTTCAAATGGAGGTTGTGGCCCCCCTGAGGGTAGAGCATCCTTGATACTCCAGGGATTATGCTCACCAACGTTACCTGCACCCGTGGAATTAGAAGGCTCAGTGCACCACCTTGTGGATGAGAAAAGAAGACTAGTTTGATCCTTTTAAGAATATCGCAGCCTCGCAACGTTAAAATTATAATCATCCAAGGACAGGTATCAGCCTAGTGATTGGTCAGGTATTTTTTGCTGAGACCATTTTGCTACGAAATATTCCAGAGAGTGCAGAGAGTGTAAGTAATCCTAACCCCTGGAGTAGTGAGGATTGGGGCGGAGGGGCGGGGCGCAATAAGTGATATTAAGGTAAATCTTAAAAATCGTTCCTCTTCCTCTTTACACATGGAAGGATTTAAACCAACTTTATCTAGAACTTTCCTGGGGAAAACGGACTCATGTTTGTATAAAAGAGGATCGTGGCCTCCCTGGGAGCAGAGGGGCTGGGCCCAATAGCGGGAACATAGTGAAATGTTTAAAACCCATTGTACAAATTGATGGATTTGTCTGCGAACACTGATGCAAATACAACCAAATTTGAATCAAATGATAAAAATTGTCTCTATCTAACTGTCAAGCACACCTGAATGACAAAATAGCGCAAGGATACGGGTGGTCGTATCTTTTATAGGCTGTCCTTTGGTACAGGGGTCAGGCATGCACAGTGTGTTTTGACCTTTTAAGGTCAGTGTCGAGCACCTTGTAGAGAGACAAGTGCTATGTAACCGGACACTGGAGGGCTGGAATGGAAGAGAATTTCGTTGAAATCAATGCATAACTTTAGAAGGAGTTGTCCGGAAAAGTTTCAGTATTTTTTTCAACAAAGGGTCATAACTTCATAAAAAAGGGTCGGAATGAAAAAAAAATACCTAGATGCACAAGTTCAGGTGGTAGTTATCATAAAATCTGGAAAGTTTGGTTGAAATTGGTCCATTACTTGAGAAGGAGTTGTCCGGACAGACAGACAGACAGACAGACAAGCTGATTCCAGTATTCTCCTCCCTCTAACTTTCTTGCGGGGTTATAACAAGCTGATTCCAGTATAACCCCCCAAACTTCGTTGTGGGGGTGTAATAAATACACAAATAAATATTTTCATGATAGAATTTGGGAAATATTCAAAATTAAAGAAACAGTTGTTTAAAAGTTTATTCAAAGGTTTTAAATTTTGATGCATTTGGGGGCCAAAACATGCCTAAAGCATTTATAGTCCTTTGCCTGGACTTTTTACTCACATTGCGTGCTAACGATAGGTGCTCTGCCAAGGAGGCTTGGTTTGGTTTGGTTTGGTTTGTTTTACGTCCTATTAACAGCTGTGGTCGTTTAAGGATGTGCCAGGTTTTGGGGGTGGAGGGAAGTGGGAGTACCCAAAGAAAAACCACTGAGCTGCAGCCAGTACCTGGTGACTGCCACGAACCCACAATCCTAGTGGTAGCAGAATGTCAGACACCTTTAACCACTAGGCAATCGTGGCCCTGCAAGGGGGATATACTGCATGCAAATTTCTGAAGTTTGAATTTGACTTTACATTGTGATTTGTCTCTCATACTTCAACAGTGTTACAGCTTATAGAACAGTTTCTGATTTGAAAACACTTATATGGAATAAATCTTTAGGTTATTGTCTTGTAACAGCTGTTTGATATGGAATGAATTTTTAGGTTATTGTCTTGTAACAGCTGTTTGATATGGAATAAATCTTTAGGTTATTGTCTTGTAACAGCTGTTTGAGTTGATATTATTTAATTTGTTGATTTTTTTCACAGGTAGATCTTGATAAAGATGTATTACTTTTGTATTGTACATTGTATCTCTGATTCATTGAAATACATTTTGAGCATTGTGGAAAATAAATCCAAAAGGCTTTGTTGTTATTATTTGTATATGATGCATTTCGCCTCCTGAAATGTTAATTGTTTAAACAACTAATGTGACAAACAGCTTGTAAGTTGTTAATATGTTTGTTACGGTAATTGTACAGGCAGCAGCAGTGAGGGAGGGCATGGCGTGGATTGTACCGGTGCCCCTACTGACACTACTGTCTCCCCGGGTCCTGGAACAGATGGTGTGTGGAATGGAGGATATGAATGTTGACATCCTCCGCAAAGTTGTCAGGTTGGTCGTAATTATAAACTCTAATCAGAAAAGACAAATTTATGTTGTCATTTTAATTAAGTCGGGAAGAATGTGAGTGATTTAGTTAGGTAGGAAATTAATAGTTAGTCTGGCATGCATGAATCTGTTGTCAGTTAAGAGATTAATGCTTAAAATCAGGTATGTTTGAATTTTTGGCACCGATATTTTTGTCAAGTAGAACATAATAGTCTAGGAAAACTCCATCTTAACTAACAGGCAGATTTTATTAAAACTTCACTTGAATGATCAGTATATTATGTAGTTGTGCTGCAGCATTTTAATTTAAGATATCAATACTTTTTAAGGTAGTTATGGCCCTCTATGTGAATTAACTTGTCCGGAAACCCCAAGGTCAAGGTCACTAAATTATATATAAACATCTGCAGGGGGCATTAACTATCCTCTGGATGGCAGTTCTAGTTTCAAACTGCATGGGAAAGTTATTACCATAAAAGCTGAAAGGGTTCAATAACCATCATTGTCCGACTAATTTTCTGAGTAATGCTGCTTTATTCAATTGTGGAAACAGTGTTGTTTTTTTATTAACTTTTGTGATATAATTTCCACTACTACTGCAAATCAATAGTGCATGGGGCTACATAAATCTGTGGCCCATGGGGCTGTATAAATCAGAAGTCTATCGAGCTATATAAATCTGTAGTCTATGGGGCTATATAAATCAGTCGTCTGTGGGGCTATATAAATCAGAAGTCTATGGGGCTATACAAATCTGTAGTCTATGGGTCTGCATAAATCAGTAGTCCGTGGGGCTATATAAATCAGTAGTCTATGGGGCTATATAAATCAGTAGTCTATGGGGCTATATAAATCTGTAGTCTATGGGGCTATATAAATCAGTAGTCCGTGGGGCTATATAAATCAGTAGTCCGTGGGGCTATATAAATCATTAGTCTATGGGGCTGTATAAATCAGTAGTCTATGGGGCTGTGTAAATTAGTAGTCTGTGGGGCTATATAAATTAGTCGTCCATGGGGCTATATAAATTAGTCGTCCATGGGGCTATATAAATCTGTAGTCTATGGGGCTATATAAATCAGAAGTCTATGGGGCTATATAAATCTGTAGTCCATTGGGCTATATAAATCAGTAGTCCGTGGGGCTATATAAATCAGTAGTCTATGGGGCTATATAAATCTGTAGTCCATTAGGCTATATAAATCAGTAGTCCGTGGGGCTCTATAAATCAGTAGGCTATGGGGCTATATAAATCAGTCGTCCATGGGGCTGTATAAATCAGTAGTCCGTGGGGCTATATAAATCATTAGTCTATGGGGCTGTATAAATCAGTAGTCTATGGGGCTGTGTAAATTAGTAGTCTGTGGGGCTATATAAATTAGTCGGCCATGGGGCTATATAAATTAGTCGTCCATGTGGCTATATAAATCAGTCGTCCATGGGGCTGTATAAATCTGTAGTCTATGGGGCTGTATAAATCTGTAGTCCATGGGGCTGTATAAATCAGAAGTCCATTGGGCTGTGTAAATTAGAAGTCCATTGGGCTGTGTAAATCAGAAGTCCATTTGACTGTGTAAATCAGAAGTCCATTGGGCTGTGTAAATCAGAAGTCCATTTGGCTGTGTAAATCAGAAGTCCATTGGGCTGTGTAAATCAGAAGTACATTGGGCTGTGTAAATCAGTAGTCTGTGAGGCTATATAAACCAGCAGTGACAAGGTCAAAGGTCAGACTGCAATATCTTGGAACTCCTTCAGGTTCTGAAGTTGTCACTATCAAATTTTAACCAGTTAGTGTATTGAAGAATTGTCACACTCAAAGTATATTGTAAAGCTATAAATTACTGTGTCTTTGTAGCTTGTTAGAAGGACTCTTTATTGCGTTCATTGTTCAATTGTGTTACATTTATACTTAGATTCATATGTTGGGTACATCATGCACACCCATAATTTTATCATTAATATCAAAACTTTTGTTTCACAGATACCGAGGCATAGACGAGAAAAATGAAGTTGTGCGCTGGTTTTGGGAAGTGCTGGAGTCTTTCAGCAATGATGAGAGGATCCAATTCTTGCGTTTTGTATCGGGAAGGACACGGTTGCCTGCCAATCCCTCAGATATATCACAGCGATTCCAGATCATGAACTCTGATAGAGTTAGTATTGACTATTGATGAGATGTTTAAGGAGTGTTTAAGTGCTATTCATTGTCAGTCTGATTGTTGCTGTGCTGTAGTTTGAGTTCCTTGCCCCTCGACACAGTCAAGGACAATAGATAAGAAATAAATAGCACGTTTTAATGTCAAATCTAAATCACATTCAATTGACTTTGGATTTGATTCCCTCATTTTTAGGTCACCTGACTTTAGGTCGTCGCCGTACGCCTTGCATCATGCGTTAAATTTTATCTTGTGAGCATGATAATTAAAAAATCACCCTGCGTTCGTGGTCTGTCCATCTCTCCGTCATTCCTTCCATTCTTAAACAATTCTTGTTAGCGCTATTTCTCAGAAAGTACCAGGGGATCATTCTCAAATTTGATAGGAAGGTTTCCCATGGTGCTTAGTTATACGCACATCAAATTTTGAGACTGATCACAAAACCAAGATGGCCGACAGGCAGCTATCTTTAATTTGAGAGTTAAAGTTTGTTAGCTCTATTTCTCAGAACGTGCAGAAGGGATTTTTTTCTCAGGTTTCACACAAAGTTTCCCCGTGGTCCATAGTTATGCATATAAAATTTTGGGACTGATCATAAAATCAAGATGGCCAACAGGCAGCCATCTTTAATTTGAGAGTTAAAGTTTGTTAGTGCTATTTCTCAGAAAGTAACAGAGGGATCATTCTCATATTTCACGTGAAGGTTCCCCATGGTCCTTTGTTGTGCATATCACCCCTGATTGAGAAAAGAATACACATACTGTTACCCACCGCATGTATCGTAGGAGACGACTAATGTGGGAACCCCCTGCAGAATTGGGGATTTGCTTTGGTGTCCTCTATTTGGGGACACAAAAGCGACCATAATAAATCTGCTGCGCCCATTGCACTATTTGGGATCTTTATCTTTCTTTCTACTTCTAACTACCTTTAATTTCCTAACGCCTTGCTTGGCAACACCTCACTTTCGGCTTGAATGTTGAACGTTCGCCCAGGTGAGGAAGGTAATGGGTTCTGTCCCCAGGCTGGGGCATACCTTAAAAATGGTAGTTGCTATTCCCTGCTTAACTTTCAGCATTTAGCAGAATGGCAACAACTAGTTCACCCGTTGTCAGTATAATGTGACCAGGCGGAATGCTGTGCTGGGTGCCTTCGGCATGGTATTTCAGTGAGATAGCACTATAAAGTCGGCATCGGAAATGGGTTATGGAACTTTGATTTTTTTTTTTTTAAAGAGCAGTTCTGCCTAGCACTGCAGAGTAATTCTACACCCTGGTTAGCCTCCGCTGACCATCTTTATCAAATTTAATGTTACATAACATTTAAGATCAAGGGCAGCTGAGATAATCTTCAATCCAAGTAGAGATTTTTTTTAGATTGTATGTATAATGTGTATGTTGTTGTATATAAACATGTAGTTTTAAATGTTGAAAGTTTTTGTAATAGATTCAGAGAAAATAATTACTGTCGTTTTTGTTATTACTGGCATAAACAGAGAAATCTTTCTCAAATATAGATTTCCCTTGATCCAAACTTGTGAATGTTTCATTTTGAGACTGATGGGGGAAAACAAGATGACTGCTAGGCAGCCATATTTGAATTTAACAGTTACAGTTTGATTGCTTGATCAGACCAGAAGAAAATACAATGTTATAAAGAAATTATGATGGTGGTTACCAAGATTCCCCTTGAATACCTTGATCATAGAATGGTCTATAATAATGTTAATCTCCTTTTTCTTTGTAGGGTGCTGACTGTCTGCCTACATCACAGACATGTTTCTTTCAGCTTCGCCTACCTTCCTACCCTAGTCGTGAGGTTTTGGCTGAAAAGTTGCGCTATGCCATATACAATTGCCGGTCAATAGATATGGACAACTACATGCTGGCGCGGAATGTGGAGAATGACGCACCATCCGATGATGAGGAGATGGAGTATATGTAGACAGAAGGAAAGACAACTAATCGGCAATGATCTCCCATTGAAGAGATATAATCTCCATGACTAAATTCAAAATGCTTCTACCTATGCTTGGATGTGTGCTTGAAAACACTTTGTCTGAAAGTTATTTGGGAAAGCCTTTCGTTTTTGAGATAACATAATGCATGGTTAGGTTTAAATGGACCTGTAAAGTAGTCTTAGGTTATAAAATTACACTTAAGGCATGTTGCTCGAACTACACTTACATCAAAGGTGGGAACACCGATATTGTAGGTGTGTCTCTGACACTACACTAATATACAAAGTGTCACTTGTGCACGATGGCACGATGGCCAGATGGCGTATAATGGCAATTGTGGTTGATACAAATAGAGGAATGGCTTTAACAATAAATACAATTTCATTTAAAAACTATATAATCTTGACTTTACAGTATGTTTTTGGTATCTGTAGCTAGATGTTCAAATTACATAATTCAAAAAATGTGTTTTCATGTTTATTATATAAAGGACATTGTATAATTTGACACATGTAAATACACACACAGTCTCATACAACCACACTGTAACAAAACTGCCTTGTACATATACTTTCAAGGTCTATGTGAAATATTTAAAAAATCTTCTAACAACTTCTGCTGTATAATCAAAAGGACCAGTATGATTCTACTGGCCAGTAGAATGTTGGGATGAAGGGCTATCAGGTGTGTTTAAATCAATGACCTTCACCCATGTTCAAGGTCACAGGGGTCAATTGATTAAAAACGACCTATAAACAACTTCTTCTAAATAACATCTGAAACATCATGTAACATTAAGCGATCCCAAAACTGTAACTTTGACTTACTTCCTGGGTCAAAACATGGAATTTTCACATCCCTTCACTATAATCGTATGCAGTTGCTTGGCTTAAAGAGACACATTTACTCATACTATCAGGATTGGATTGGGAATCCAGCCCAAACTAAGGGGCTTACTTTGTGGTCATAACATAGAACCAGTTCAGATCAAAACCATATAACCAAATATAGTATTGCTGTGCATGAAGAGATGATTACCTTCATGCTACTAGGATTGGACCTGAGGGCCCGCCTCACCCCTTAATATGTATCCTTTAACTATATATTAAATTGGTACATTGACATAAAGAAACAAATATATGTTTATATCCTTAGTGTCATTTTTGCTACTAGGGATTTAGTCGTTTAAATAAAAAAAATCTGGGTGAGATAAAAAAATAAAAAAATATCAAGGTTCCTGCATGGGCTTCTTCTTGACATTTTGTATACATAATTTATCATATCTGGTACAGTTGTGTGACGGCACCATGCACCAAAAATAGTGTCACATATCGTGCATGCATCGTGCGCACACCATTCACACATGCATGGTATATATATAAATTTCTCATCATATTGATTAAGATTACGTTCAATTTTACACAATGCGACGTGTCACACAGTATTACTAAAATCAATTAGACTGTCAACAATGGGTTTGGCTCCCAGGTAACAGAATAGTTAAATAACATTTTGTTGATTGACTGGAGTTTATCTGGCCTGTGTCTGACACAAGGAGGTGACTTGTGATGATCGACGTATGACCATTATGAAAACATAGCGACGCTAAGTATTTATCTTTTTGTTTTGGATTTTTCACACATAAACGTAATTTCTAAATTTAAGAACATATAGATAGATTAAGATGAGCTTATAGATGTAGTTAGAATATAGAAACATACTTAAAAAATCAAGTTTATATGTTAAAACACGAAACCGTATATATTAAGCCATTCCTCAATTTACACCAACCACGATTGTTATCGCACAACATTCGTCCATCGTGCGCACAAATGTACATCAGCATTTTATTTTTTTATTGTTAGCATATTGTGCACACGGTGTGTGTATAACGTGCGCTGTCATGCAACATTGTGCGATCCCAAAACTGTATATGATTTGACTGTCACATCATATGCATTTAGTGTGATATAAATATTTTGCTTAGCTAAGTTATTTTGAAATAAATGTGTTTAGTGCTACTTATAATATTCTTAAATTCCAAACTGTGATATTGCCAAGATATGACAGAAAGCAGTCTGTGAACATATATTTTAATTTAATTTTGACTTTTATTGGCCCCCATCATCATCAGATGGTGGGCTGATCACGTGTCCATAGTCAGTCCGTTGTTTGTCCATCTCTAGATGATTCTTGTTGTTTTTTGTTAAAAAAAAAAGTACTCGATGAATCAAATTTCTCAAATTTATTTCATATGAAGGTTTCCTTTTGTCTATAGTTGTGCATGTTTCCTTTTGTCCATAGTTGTGCATGTTTCGTTTTGGGATTGTAGGGAAAACAAAATGGCCACCAGGAAGCTGTCTTTGATAGGTCTAGTTTGTCTACGTGACAGGAAGTACTTGAAACATCTTTTACGTATACATACTGTATGTGTATAGATTTCCCTTGGTCCACAGTTGTGCATGTTTTATTTTGGAACAGATTATTTATCCCTATTCCTCAAGAAGTACCAGACTGATCTTTTTTTAAATTTCATGTCAAGGTATTCTTTGGTCTATAAATGTGCATGTTTGATCTGGGGACTGATTGGGGGGAAAAACAAGATAGCTGCAAGGTGACCATATTTGATTATGAAAGTTCCAGAATATTGCACTATTTCTTAAAAGGCAATTGACACATATATCAAATTTCAAATATACGATTCCTGTGTTTCACATTGAATACTGCATTAGTCAAAAGGTTAAAGCTTCCTGGGATAGGGTCCAATGAAGTTTTAAAAAAAAATGCATTGACCTATATTCAAACTCATACAAGTCAAATATGTGAAAAACTTCAAACGACATCATCTGAAGAATGAAAAGGTCTAGAGCCATGATTATAGGCTTAAAGCTTCCTGGGAGTTAGCGTAACAAAGTGTGCAATAAAAAAATGACATTGATTTGTATTCAAGATCACAGCTAGGTGTCAAATATGTCAAAAATTCAAACAACTTCTTCTATAGAAAGGAAAGGCCTAGAAACCTAATACTAGGCTGGTAGCTTCCTAGGATAAAGCCCAACAATTTTTCTAAAAAAATGACCTTGATCTGTACTTATAACAGGGATAAAATATGTCAAAAACTCCAAACAACTTCTTCTCATGAATTGAAAGACTAAGGATCATGATATTAGGCTGGTGACCTTGATCTGTATTCAAGGTAACAGGGGTCAAATATATATGTCTGAATCCTCAAACAACTTCTTCTGAAGAATGGAAAAGTCCAAAATCATGCTATTATGCTGGGAGCTTCAAGGGATTGTGTTCAACAATCTTTGAGAATAAAAATGACCTTGACCTGTGTATAAGGTCACTTAGATTAAATAGTTAAAGACCGCACATGACTTCTTTTAAACAGGGATGCATGGAAGCTTCTTAGGATAAAGCCCAACAAATTTTCCCAAAATATGGCCCTTGTTCTGTATTCAATGTCACATGGCTCAAATACTTTGAAAATAACAATGGCCCCTATTTGGAAGGGAGACAAAAATGCTCAACCCTCAAGGTAGCTTTCTTAAATGTCCTGCCTTCAGCAGAATACAGACAATACATTCAAGAACCTCACGTATGTGGGGGTTGAGAAAGTGAAAGTAGAGATGGGTCATATATTATTCCAGTTACTTCAATTAAGGTTAATAGAATGCATTTGATATATTTGGTTAAAGTGTGATGTAAAAATGTGTGCAATTGTTGTGACAAACAGGTTTTTATGTTATGTACGTGTTTACTGTTTACACCCATATGTCTGCCAAATAAAATATTGTTGCATATATAAGGTTTTGTTCTCTGTTATGGGGATGCATTTCCTACTTTTTGTCTTGGTTTTTATGTCCCCTGCAAAGAATTGATGACATCTAGGGATCGGATGACTCTTTTGTTATTGTAGTCGTTGTCTGGTTTCCATGCAATAATTGCCGAGGAATGCTTTGATTTTCATGAAACTTTCTACAAATGTTTATATTCATGTTAATTTCCCTCTCTAGATTGATTTTGAGCCAAATCTAAAAATTGACATTGATTTAAGTGACAATCTTTCATTTTGTGAAAAGTCACTTTATTTCCATCCAATAATCCTAGGAGGATTGGTTTGATTTTCATAAACTTTCCACAAATACCTGCAGCATCAATTACCTCAAGTTCGATTTTTAGCAAAATCATTAAGTGAACAATACAGGCCCTTTGGGCCTTTTGTTTTTGAACTTAAGTGCAAAAACTACTTTTTATACGCCCGTCAAATTTGACAGGAGTATTATGGTGTGGGGTTGTCCGTACGTCCGTCCGTCAGGCGTAAACTTTTGTTTGTCCGGCAATCTCCTACTACATTTTTCGAACAATCTCTTTGAAACTTGGTATACATCATAATCGTGATATGAAGTTGTGTCTCCCAAAAACGAATTTTGATTCGACGATTTTTACAAAAGTTATTGCCCTTTGTTTATTTCAGTATTTGATTTTAGTTCGATAATCTTCTCGTACATTTTTTGACCGATCTCTCTGAAACTTGGTAAACATCATAATCATGATATGAAATTATGTCTCCCTTAAAAGAATTTTGATTCGACAATTTTGCAAAAGTTATTGCCCTTTATTCATTTCAGTATTTGATTTTTTGTCTGGAGATTTTCTCCTACATTTAATATAGCATGTCAGCTAACCACTCTTGGAATGATGCAGATCGTATTTCAATGTAAGAAAGTATATAACACTATATGGCATTCGACGGGCGTATATTGTTCTGCTCCGCGGTACTCTTGTTCCATTTCATAGTTATGTGGCATTTAACAAGTAAAAACTTGAACTATCAGAATGCTACATTGTAGGTATGCCTTCCGTACTCATGAAACACGAAAACCTTGTTTGGTTAGTTCGGCTATTTACTGAAGTGATGACATGATCTAGTAGATGTTTCGGTAGTAGTTAGTAAGGTTAGGTAAGCAAGGATGATTCGGTACATTTTAAGGCAATTATTACTGAAGTATTTTATATAAAATTAGCAACACATAACACATAGTAAACAAAGTACAGTGTTGAAACATTAGTCCAACTGCCAAAAACCTTATAATAACAACTTTTGGGAAGAACTGAAACGTCTAATACCGAAACATCCCAGTACCGAAACTACCCTAGTAGGCTTTTCCTACTGAAATACCTGTACCCAACATGATCGCAGATAACAGTTAATCTCTTAAATTTTGTTTTGAAATATTTAATGCCTACCTTCAAATTCTTTAATATTATTACAATGCCACAGCTGTCAAGTCGTTTCGCATTTAAAAAAAAAACTTTCAATAAACAGCTGGACAGAAGGAACTAGAATTGTAAGCCAAAGGCTAACTAATAGTACCCCCTCCCTTATTAGCTCTATTTTGGAAGCATCCCTAGGTGGTGGAGATTCAAAATTGTACAAATGGTGGGGCTGACCCCCCGGGCTAAGGGGTGGGACCAAAAAAAGTTTATTGCCTGGAAATGGTTGAGATCCCCACCATATAACCACATACAATTGCTGAGTATAAAGAGAAGAATGCACATTTGCTTCCAGGATGGCCCTAGGGTCTGGCCCCACCCTTGGAAACATAGTCCTTGGGCCATAACTTTAAAACGGCTGAGATCCGCACTCAAAAACTATATATACAAATGCTGGGCATAAAGAGACGAATGCAGTCACAATATTAGAATAGACCCTGGGGTCTGACCGAACCCTTAGGGACCTAGTTTCTTAGTCACAGCTTGGAAACAGCTGAGATCACCACCCTATAACCATATAGACAATTACCGATTACAAAGAGATGAATGCACATATGCTTCCAGGATGGCCTTGGGGACTGCCCCACCCTTGAAGACCTAACCCCTGGGTCATAACTTTGAAATGGTTAAGATCCCCACCCCAAAACTATATATACAATTGTTGGGCATAAAGAGACAAATACAGTCATGATATTAGAATTGACCCCAGGGTTTGCCCCACCCTTGCAGACTTAACCCCTGGGCCATAACTTTGAAACGGTTGAAATCCCCACCCCAATCCATAAAATTGTTGGGCATGAAAAATTGAATACAGATATATATGCGACAAGGATTGGCCTTGGGGTCTGGCATATTCCCTTGGATCTCATTTGGAGAATATTCTGCCATGATTGCTTAGATATCAAGGTGAGCGATACAGGCCCTATGGGCCTCTTGTATTATAAACTAGAATTGTAAGCCAAAGGCTAACTAATAACCCCCCTCTCCCACCCCCTCCCTTATAAACTAAAACTAAGTAAAAGGCTAACTTAAAAAAAAAACTCCCATATAAACTAGAACTGTAAGCTGAAGGCTAAAAATCCTGTTAGTCCAAAAATGAACTAGTATACGCCCTAAACAAACTTTTTACTTATTACCGATTCAAATCGCCCTGCGTCCGTGGTCCGTGGTTCGTCCTTAAACAATTCTTGTTAACGCTTTTTCTTAAGAAGTACCAGAGGGATCTTTCTCAAATTTTATATGAAGGTTCCCCTTGGTCCCTAGTTGTGCAGGGCAACTTTAAAGAATGATCGGATAAACAACATGGCTGACAGGTAGCCATCTTGGATTTTGATAGTGAAGGTTTGTTATCACTATTTCTCAGGAAGTACCCGAGTGATTTTTCTCAATTTTTATATGTATGTTCCCCTTCGGCGGGCGGCAGGTCTGTAGTTGTGGAGGGCAACTTTTGAGACTGATCGGATAAACAACATGGCCGACAGGCAGCCATCTTGGATTTTGATAGTGAAGGTTTGTTATCACTATTTCTTAGGAAGTACTGGAGAGATCCATCTTAAATTATATATGTATCTTCCCCTTGGTCTGTAGTTGTGCATATTTAATTTTCAGACTGATCGGATATAGAAAATGGCTTGACAGGCTGGCATCTTGGATTTTGACATTGAAGGTTTGTTATCGCTATTTCTCTGGAGTACTGGAGGGATCTTTCTCAAATTTGATATGTAGGTTCCCCTTCATCCCTCGTTGTGCATGTTATATTTTGAGACTGATCATAAAAGAAATGGCTAAAGGAAGAACTAAACAGATCTTTCTCCTATTGCAATGATCGATTCTATTTCTTTCACATTAAGTACTGCACTAGTAAATATGTGAAATGACTTTGACGGTTGTCTTTTATACGTAGCAGTATTAAGTTTAGATCAAAAGTTACCTCAAGGTGCATTTACTGTTAACACGACTTGATCAAACAGATTAGAGAAAAGAAGAGA